TAGAAAAAAATGAGAAAATAATATATATTGTTACAGTTATCTTAGAAAATATTGAAATTTGTATATCAGGTTAAGAATTTTCAGCATAGTCATCTCTTTGCCTGTTTACTCAAAAGGAAAATTGTCCATTGTCCTACCCTCCAAAAGACATTGTCACATTTTTTTATTCACCAAATGGGCCTTCTGAATTCTATGGCTCTCCCAGCTGGAATACGGGGTTTTCATACTTTGAATTCCATACAGGAAGAGTCTATGAAAGTCAACATAAACACAAGTGGTTTAGTTGTTTCAAGGTACTCCTGGCTTCTGGGGCTAAATTCTTCAAAGTCAAATGACATAAACCTGTGTCCTATCCGTGGGAATCCTATTATCATCATGTTTCTAGGGTCTTCTGGAAAAGAGAAAGCAGTAGCTTTCATTTCCTGTTATTTTACTTTCTAAATTCCTTCTTCCTTACTTGAATTTCAATTACAATTCACTATTTTGTATCCTGAAATTGTACTCCCTTCCTGACTCCCCACAAATATACAGTGATTTTCATTTCCCCAAATACTAATAACATAAGATGATTATGGTTCATAAGTTTTACCAAGGCTTTATTAAAAGTGGAGAATAATTACCAAACAGGTTACAAATGCAAACTTAACTGATGTTTAAACTTTCATTGATCATGTTCCATGCATAGATCTCTTATTTACTGGTCATATTGTCTCTCTGGGTTCTGATCTTGTAGTTCTACTTTATTACTATTCTCTCAATTAAAAGACCCTAAAATTTTTAATTTTTTTTTCAAAAAAGAAAAGCCTGTTCCTGACTTCAGCTAATCATCTCACATCTACACTGGCCCCCCCAAAGATTCCTCTTCCCAACTAAAAGAACCAAGAAATTGATCTTCTAAACAAAAGTAACAATAGTAATAATAGTAATAATCATACAAAAACCTGTCCTTTCCTAGAACAAAGCACAGTCAGCTTTCAGAGTGGAATTTCTTTCTCATATCTCATGTTTAGTGAAATAAAACTAAGAAAATAAGATAGAAAAGCAAAGGGAGCGAAGGGAGTGCATCGCAGAAATATTTTAAAAGGAGCAATAAACTTGAAATCATGTTACTAAGATTTTATTCTAGGCTTTATCTTTAAGGAGCCATAGGACTTTAAGCAAATCATTATCCTCTTTGAACTTCAGTATTCTAACCATAAAATAAATATATATTGATAATATAATATGTGTTAGTTAAACCATACAAGGGAAATATAACATCTCTTATAAGTGTTTAATGCACAGTATTTACAGCTACGCAGTGGTTGCAAATGATATTTGATGTATGAACATCTGTCTCTGTGAAACACTTGGATTTGAAAGATATATATATCTGCTCACTGGAAGATTAAAACCTAGAGTAGAAAGATTATAGGACTGTTGCTTCATCAAAGTAGCAAGCAAGAATTCTCCAGCCCAGTGGCATAATATCAATGTGGCAATGCATTATTTAGTCATGTACAGAACAATTCACCATTTCTTAGAATAAAGTCTATGCTTTATAGCACACTTTAGGGGACATGTCTTTGTTGTACAAAAGTGGATTGCAGATGGCAATTAAAAAAAAGAAATTTCTTTCTTAATGTTAGTCTTAAAGAGGCAAAAATGGTGAGAGGAGAAACTGTAAATGGTGAGGGAACAAAGAAAACCTACTACAAAACATTAAGAAACGCATTTTAAATTTCCCTCCCCAATGGTATAAAAGAAATATAAGAAAGATGTCACCAAAAACATTTCAAATAAACACAGAGAACCTGTCTGTGTTTCAACTGCACATGCAGGGAGGTGCTGTTTCTGATCAAAACATTTTCCTGCTGAGGATTTTTCTCAGGGCAACTTTAACATCTTTGTTTCTCAAGCTGTAGATCAAAGGGTTCAGCATGGGAACCACATTGGTATAAAAGACTGAAGAGATTTTATTCTCATTCATTGACCCAGCAGAGGATGGTTTCAGATACATAAATGCACATGATCCAAAGAACAGAGAAACAGCAATTATGTGGGAACTGCAGGTGCTGAAGGCTTTGGACCTGCCCTTAGTGGAGCTTATCTGGAGTATGCTGTGGAGGATGAAGCCATAAGAGATAAAGATGGTGAGACTGGGCACAATGACGTTGATGCCCACCACAATAAATATAACCAGCTCATTGGCATAGGTGCTGGTGCAGGAGAGCTGGAGCAAAGGGAGGGCATCGCAGAAATAGTGGTTTATGATGTTTGCATCACAGAAGGTCAGTCTCAGCATGCATCCAGTGTGGGCCATGGCACCAGAAAGTGCCATCAAGTATGAACCAAGCATAAGGTTGGAGCATACCTTAGGGGACATGGCTATGTTGTACAAAAGTGGATTGCAGATGGCCACATAGCGATCATAGGCCATTGATGTCAGCACATAGCACTCAGAAATAATAAAAAAACAATAAAAGAAAAGCTGGGTCATACAACCTGTGTAGGAGATAATATTCTTCTTTGAAATGAAGTTCACCAGCATTTTGGGTGTAAACACGGAAGAGTAAGAGAAGTCTACAAAGGACAAGTTAAAGAGGAAAAAGTACATGGGGGTGTGAAGATGTGAGTTCAGGCCAATTAGAGTTATCAAACCCAGATTTCCCAACACAGTGACCATATATATTACTAGAAATAGGATGAGCAGGGGGACTTGGAGAATAGGCCAATCTGTTAATCCCACCAGTATAAACTCTGTCACAAAAGAAATATTTTCAGGAGCCATTCTTTTCAAAAAGAATCTGTGGACACAAGGAGAAAAATAAAAAAGTTACATTAAAAGACAACCCAGCTCTCCCAAGAACACCTTCTCCCACCAGTGAGGTTTGCACCAGAAATGTCTGAAACTAATCAACCTGAATCCACACAACCTTCCTTTTGTGCTGCCAGTATACTAATATAAAATTCTTATTAGAATCTTAAAACTAAATACAGAACATCACACACTTAGCCTTTATAAGTAAGATTGGTGCTAGCATACACACACATGACTGTCAGAAAAACCCAGGAATAAAAAAAAAGAAAGCTGAATCAGAGTAAATTGTCTTCTTATCTCATACTTCCCCCTTTTCTTGAGCCTCCCATCACTAGTAAATTTAGAGGCAAATATCTTAGCAACTTGGTGCTGACCTTCAATGCAGATTACACTCTAGTGGGTTTGCAATCATGAATGTTCTTCCTAATCTAAAACAAAACATGAGTCTAGGAATGGTTAAGTTATTGCCCCATGTCACACAAAAGACCATTAATCTAGAAGAATGTGATATCTGTCCACAGAGAAGGAAATTAATGATTAATGCACAACTTTGGTGCCAATTAATTCTCTGAACATTCTCTGTTTCCTTTTCAAAGAGTTTCCTCTACCACTTTCACTTGAATTTTAGGATTGCACAAAATGGAAAGAAAATGATATGCCTTAGATCCCTGGTCTTCATCACAAAATGTGAGAACATTCTGCTAAAAGTAAGAAAAACACTGAAAGAGAAACAGTGCATGATTTTATCTGAATGGGAAATATAAATAGTTGTATCCATATAGAATGTTGGTGGCCAGAGGCCAAGGAGAGGGAAAATATGATACTGGCCAATGGTTACAATGGCTCAGTTATGCAAAATGCTTAAACTCTGGAGATCTAATGCACAACATGTTAACAACAGTTAATAATAATGCACTGTATATGTGATATTTACTAACAGAATGGCACTTAAAATTATGTTCTCACTATATGGATACACATGCACAAAACACACACAAAGGGTAGAGATGATCGATGTTGGAATTATTTCATAATGTGTATGTATGTCAAAATATCAAGTTGTATACCATGGAGATGCAATTTTATGTGTTAGTGATATCTCAAACAGTTAAATTAAAGTAAAAACATGAATATACATATACTTAAAAACCTACCTTCCAAGCCAGGCGTGGTGGTGCACTCCTGAAATCCCAGCAGCTCTGGAGGCTGAGGTAGGAGGATCACAAGTTCAAAGCCAGCCTCAGCAAAAAGAGAGGCACTAAACAACTCAGAGAGACCTATCTCTAAATAAAATATAAAATAGGGATGGACATGCGGCTCAGTGATTGAGTGCCCCTGAGCTCAATCCCCAGTGTGATGACCCCAACCCACACACACACACACACATACAAAAAAAAAAAAAAACATTCATTTTCCACAGGAGAGAAAACCTTGGTGCTTCCTCATCATTGTTATTTATCTCTCTGCTCTTGGAAGAGTGGTATTAGACTGAATTTCTCATATTCCCTGGAAATCATTCTGAACTGCTAGTCATAATTTATAATAATAATTCTAGATCCTGTGAAGCATCAGAGAAAAGTAAACACCCTCCTTATTATTATATCTGGCACTCAATGAGACTGTGCCCTGACTATAAGCAGGATAGAAGCTTACTTTCTTCCTAGGGAACAAATTTTAGGTATAAATAGGAAGTGAGGGAATTAAATAATGATATTCCTTTGGTTCCTTAGGGACTCAATGTTTTTTACTCGGGTTTTTCCTTTTCCTTAGGTACTGAACATATCCCATGGTAGAGCCAAATTAAAATTTCCATCTCCCTAGCACCTTGATCTCTCAAGATAAATCTATTGTTTTGGTTCTTGCTCTGTTTGTTCCCACATCTTCAATGTAAATGTTCTGAGGAATCTACCCCCAGGCTACCTTATTTATTTTTTAAGAAGTTTCAGAAAGTTTTCAAGGATTGTAGGAGTTTACTTCAGGGTTATCTCTCCAGAAATAGCTGCAAGATAAATTTTATTGTGTTACATTGCTACTAAAATTTTAAGCTTTAAATGCCTAATGAAAATTTCTTTCTTTTCTTTTTGTCTTCTTTGTGGGTGTATGGGTGCAGGTTTACCAGGGATTGAACCCAGGGCCTCACACATGCTTCTCCAGCACTGTACCACTGAACTACACCCCCAGCCCACTTACTGGGAATTACTACCAGAGTATTCTGCTGAGTTCTTAAATGTGACAGTTCAGAAATGAGACCAGCAATTCAAATTGCTCATGAAAAGTCCCATGCTAAACAATTAGAGTGTCTGTGTTTGAATCCTACCCCCGTACTTCCTAAATGTCATACTTTGGAAAAGTTACTTATTTGTGCCACAGTTTCATTTTTGTTTAGGATGGTAAAAACAAAATCTCTTTGTTTAGATTATTATGATAATTAGGTTAAAAAATGGGTAAAATAAAATGCTGCATCTAAAAGTAGTCAAATAGGAGCTGTGGATACAGATGCTCCTGGAATAATTAAAGGGCTACATCTAGAATAATTTCTCATAAATTTAAAATATCCTAAGTCAAAAATACTGGCTAGTACACATAACCTGCCAAACATTATAGTTTGGCCTAACACCTGCCTAATGTGCTCAGAATACTTACATTAGCCTACAGTTGGGCATTGCAAGAATATCATACCTCACACTAGGCTCCTTCCATTCCACCACCTGCAGACACCTGCCAGATCACAGCCTCCAGCACGGGACCGCCCTTCCGACCATCAGACTACCAAGGGAGGGCAGGCTCAGCGGCCCAGATCTGCCCACACCAGCCTGCGTGGGACACAAGCTCACATTAGGCCCAAGTCTTTCCCACCACCAGTAGACACTCCCACCAAAGCCCAGCCTCTAGCACTGGACTGCCCCTTCCAACCAGCAGACTACAGCAGGAGGGCAGGCCCAGCCCAGATCTGCCCACACCTGCATGCATGTGATCCAGGCTCATCGTAGGCCCTAGTCCATTCTGCCACAGACAGACACCTGTCAGAGCACAGCCTCCATCAGGGGACTGCTCCTTTTGACTAGCAGACTACCACAAGGGATCAGGCCCAGACCAGATCTGCTCTCACTGGCTTCCACTGGACCAGGTCCAGGATCCACACTGCAAGAAAGAAAGACATATATATACACAACATGAAAAAAAAGAAAGAAAGAAAGGAAAGTGCCCCAAACAAACCAGGATACTAAATTTAAAAACCCATGGACAGTGAAGTTAATGAAATGTCAGAGAAAGAGTTCAGAAGATTCATAAGTAAACTGATCTGTGAATTAAAGAATAACCTGAGTGAGCAAACACAGGCAAAAATTGTTCACTCCAAAAAGGAGATGATAGAGCAAATACAGGCAGCAAAAGATTACTTCATGAAAGAGAGAGAGATTCTGCAAAAAAAAAAAGTTAGAAATCTTTGAAATGAAGGATACAATAAACCAAATAAAAATCTCAATACAAAGCATAACCAACAGACTAGATCACTTGGAAGAAAGAACATCAGATAATGAAGATAAAGTATATAGTCTGGAAAATTATGTTGGTAACACAGTGAAGACAGTAAAAAATCGTGAACAGAATATCCAAGAATTATGGGATAGCATCAAAAGACCAAATCTAAAAGTTACTGGAATAGCACAGAGTTTCAAACCAAATGAATGCACACTCTCTTCAATGAAATAATAGCAGAAAATGTCCCAAACATGAAGAATGAATTGGAAAACCATATATAAGAGGCTTAAAGGACACCAAATGTACAAAACTACAACAGATTTACACCAAGTCACATTATAATGAAGATTCCTAGCATACAGAATAAGAATAGAATCTTAAAAGCTGCAAAAGAGAGGAATCAGATCACATACAGGGGGAGACCAATTTGTATCTCATCAGATTTTTCAACTCAGTCACTCAGAAACAAGAGATCATGGAACAACATATACCAAGCTCTGAAAGAAAATGGATGCCAACCAAGAATTGTATACCCAGCAAAACTAAGCTTTAGATTTGATGATAAAATAAAAACTTTCCACGATAAACAAAAGTCAAAAGAATTTGAAACTAGAAAGCCTGCACTACATAATATCCTCAGCAAGATATTTCACAAAGATGAAATAAAAAACAATGATGAAAATCAACAAAGGGAGAGATTACACTAAAGGAAAATCTAATCAGAGGAGAAACCAAGTCACATTAAATATCAAAAATAAAAAAAATGTTTGGGAATACAAATCATGTCTCAATAATAACCTTGAATGTTAATGGCCTAAACTCACCAATCAATAGATATAGACTAGCAGACTGAATCAGAAAAAAAAAAGACTCAACAATATGCTGCCTCCAAGAGACTCATCTCATAGGAACAGACATTTGCAGACTGAAGGTGAGGGGTTGGGAAAAATTATACCACTCACATGGACTGTGAAAGCAAGCAGGGGTTTCCATCCTCACATCAAATAAAGTAGACTTCAATCTAAAGTCAATCAAAAAGGATAAAGAAGGACACTACATACTGCTCAAAGGAACCATACACCAACAAGACAAACAATGGAGTATCTACATTCATCAAACAAACTCTTCTCAAGTTCAAGAGTCAAATAGACCACAATGCAATTTTTTAGGTGACTTTAACACACCTTTTTCATCATTAGATAGATCTTCCAAACAAAAGCTGAACAAAGAAACTATAGAACTCAATAATACAATCAATAACTTAGACTTAACTGACATATATAGAATATTTCATCCTTCAACGAGAGAATATACTTTATTCTCAGCAGCACATGGATCTAAATAGACCATATATATGCCAAATACCTTCTATAAAATAGACCATATACTATGCCACAAAGCAAATCATAGCAAATATAAAAAAGTGGACATACTACCCTGCATTCTATCAGATCATAATGGAATAAAACTAGAAACCAATGATAAAATAATAA